CTATATACAAAGGCTGATAGCGGTGCGCGAACCTGAGAAAGGACTGATAGTGCTTGTGGACCTGGAACAGGCACGTCACCTACTGGGGTAGCTCATTTGCCGCCCGGCTTTCCTCCAGCCCAGCTCTATTTTCGTTGCTACAAACCCCAGAGATGTTAACAGCTAAGATGCTCAGCTCCTGAAGGGATGACTTCGTGATACTCTTGTCTTTACTTACAAGTTTGAACTATATACCTGTAAGAAAGCCTCTTTCCTTACAGCACAACTTTTTTTTACCAATAAAAATTTAACTTTTTTGATGTTAAAACCATTACCTTATCCTTAAAGCATAAATTAACTTTTGCTGTTCTTGCCTGATATGAGTCTAGAATGTATGTTTGTATGTTGATACATAAATTCAACATAACAACATAACTTACAATTTCCATACCTGAGATGTTATGTTCTGCCACTATCATCCTTTATGGCCTTTTGTCCAAGTTAGCATGATGTATTCCTTGTATTCTTAGTCCCCGTCTTCCTTACTACTGATTGAAACCCTCTCAACCTTCGGAGTACTTCTTAAACTAGTAAAACTCACAACAACACTTAAATCGCCCCATGTGTACATACATACAAGTAATCCTCAATAAATGTAAACATGTTAATTAACAAAAATCTATTTGCCGTTTCTGAAGGTAATGCCTGGTGAGTGAGCACAGACCATTAAACCATGTCTGAGGACAGAGGATGCAGTTCCACCTCTTTCCTGTCATCACAGGGAAATGACAAGGATTTCTCCTCCTGCCTCTGCCTCTCAGGTAGCATACCACAGCACTGGGCCTGAAATATTTACTAAGCATCTCCCAGTTGTTCAACATTACTCCAGGAAATTTAACTCTTAGTTTTCTCAACTAAATTACAACTCCTCTAGGGGTACAAACCAGGGGATTTTCTTCTATATCTTCAGAGTACCTAAAATCTACCAACATAAAACAGTTACAAAAGAACTTAACGGTGCAGCTCTTCACTGACCCCTACCAAAGGGTGGACAATACACAGAACTGTAACCCTTTAGGCACCTAGAACAAATTAGTATAATATATGTTTTCACTGTCTTTAAGTAGTTTACAATCTAGTTGGAAAACGGTAATTAAATATTCCAAGATAGGAGACATGTCAGACATGAGTTACAAGTTTATAAAACATTCTATGTATTAGGGGGAAAAAGAAAAGGCTAACTGAACTGCAGTGGTCAGCTGAAGGCTGCAGGATACCTTTGAAAGCCCAACTTCAGAGCATTGGAAAAGAAGATGGAAAGTCATTCTAGGTAAAGTGGAAATGGTACTCGGAAAGGCACGTAGTGTCAATATGTAAACATGGGCCTTTTCAGGGTAATGAGAAATGAGGCTGGAATTCTAGAGCATTTTTTAATTCCTAAGGAGTAACTGATGTTTTGAGCAAGAGAGTGATATGATAAAAGCAGGTTAATATACAGCAAGAAGGATAAAGTGAACTCAGTTGCTTCTGAAACTATATTTTACTTTGTAGAGAAATCTGCTCAAAACAATTATCTGGCTGTTCAGTCTTCTTTGACCTTGGATTTTGTTCACAGGAGCCAGCTGAGAACTAAACTGCATGAACTTATTTTAGATCCTAGATTACTGCTTTCTGTATTACATGTAATTTTGCATTCTTTACCATTACCTTATGCATACACCATTACAGAGTCACCAAAAATATGAGTCTGAACAGCTGGATAAGAAATAATTCATTATCTTGGGGGATATAACATCCCATTATTGATTTGGTCATTCTCTTACTCTTAGAAGCTTTGATTGTCCCCAGTTTTAATGCACTATAAATAGGATCCTCATACATAACATTTTTGTCCATATTTTAAGTTCTTCAAGAAATTCCTATGAGTAGTATTACTAGGTTATTGAAGATACAATATATTGGTTACTGGAGATAGATAGATATATACACACACACACACACGTACACATCTCCAATAACCTAGTCATATAATGTATAGATATAATCTCATATATAAATATTTATTTACTGTTTTAGAGACAGGGTCTTGCTACTTTGCCCAAGCTGGAGTACAGTGGCTATTCACAGGGATCCCCACTACTGATGAGATGAAAGTTTTGACCTGCTCAGTTTCTAGACTGGGCTAGTTCACCTCTCTTTAGGCACTCTGGTGGTCCTCTGCTCCAGGGAGGTCACCGTATTGATACCGAACTTCGTGCAGACACCTGCTATCAGCACTGCACACTACAGCCCAGAACTCCTGGGCTCAAGTGATCCTCCCGCGTCCCCACTAGCTGAGACTACAGGGGGACATAACTATTTTTGAGGTACTTAATATAACAATTCTTTAGCCCTAATTCTGGTTTGATAGATACAGCCTCAGAATAGTGGAGACAGGATTATATCAAACGTATCTGTGATTGCACTAATACATATTCGACTATATTCCCTGGAAAGTTTAGCATACTCTACTAGAATGACAAACTGAGCAGTCACTTTCACTCTACTGTGAGAATCATTATCATGGGTATGTGACCACCACGTAAAGTTGTTCACATTACAACATTTTCCATATTCTGAACTTCGAGGTATCATCAAAGTTGCACAGAGTTATTACATAACAAAAAATAATTTGTACTTTCTTAATGGAAAAAAGAATATTTTTAAAAACTTAAAAAAAGATATTTTTAAGTCCTAAGTAGTATCAAACGTTATATTCAATCACCTCAATATGAATGAATTCCTATTTCCCATTTTGGCTAAATTTTAGATCCTATAATCCCCAACATAAGATGAAAACCTAGTAAAGTAGGCACTATCCTTGTTTCCACTGCGGTTCAACGCTTACACAAAAACTTTACCTGAAACAATTTAGAGCAGCTCTGTTCAACAGATCTTTCTGAAATGATGAAAATGTTCTGTATCTGTGCTGTTCAGTAAGGTAGCCACCACACACAGGTGCCTACCCAACACCTGAAATATAACTAGTGTCACTTAAGTACTAATTTTTCTATTTTAATTACTTTAAGGTACAATAGTAACAAGTGGCTGACGGCTACTGTATTAGAAAACATGGCTTCATAGTATACAGAAAGACTTCCACTTTAAGATGTTCTATAGTTACAAAAAAGAACAATAGATAAAACAGTGTTAACTAAATTACTGGTTAGATGAGATAATGGAAAGTGTTGGCTGCCTACTAAGCATCTACTCCTCTCTTCCCTCTTCAGAGGCCCTGTTCTGCTCAGGTGGCTGTCTACCTGCGCCCCCAGCTCCAATGATGGATCCCGATCAAAAGGATAGGGCTCAGAGCGTTGTGTGGCTGGCTGACTCTTACTGGTCCAGGGGTGGGCATGTGACTTAGGAGAATCTAAGGATTTTGAGAACTTATATTCCATGGTTTGGGGACCTAATTCTCTCTCCCAAACTGACGGACAAAGAAACATATGGATTCTGGGGGTTCTGGCAGCCACTCTGTAACCTTAAAGAAACTGACATGGTTTGGCTCTGTGTCCCCACTCAAATCTCATCTCAAATTGTAATCCCCACGTGCTGAGCGACAGACCCGGTGGCAGTGATTGGATCGGGGGCGCGATTTCCCCCTTGCTGATCTCAGGATAGGGAGTTCTGAGATCTGATGGTTTAAAAAATGGTACTCTCCCGGGTGCCCTCTCCCTGCCTCCTGCTGCCTTGTGAAGAAGGTTCCTGCTTCCCCTTTGCCTTCCACCATGATTGTAAGTTTCCTGAGGCCTCTCCAGCCATGCCCAGCTGTGAGTCAATTACACCTCTTTTGTTTATAAATTACCCAGCCTCAGGTAGTATTTTTATGGCAGTGTGAGAATGGACTAACACAGGGAGTCAGCCTAAGGACACAGCGGACATGGACAAAGCAGAGCCGAAGCTCTGAACTAAGGCACTGGAGTGCTCTGCTTGTGGACTTCCTGTTACTACGTCCCTCTTTATTGTGAACGCCAGTTCCTGTTACTTGAGGCGGGGGTGGACAGACAGCATCCAACACGCTAAGGCTCTCCAGAACGCAGGAAATACCATCTGCCCTTTCTCACATTATGTTAATCCCCCCCAAGCAAGGCTTACGGCATGGAGTCTTTCAGACTTGAACTGATAAAGGATCCTTTTGAAGTAGAGATTAGTGCCACCTGTTACCTACATTCAGGTCTAAGTTTTGTTTGTTTGTTTTTTAGAGACAGAGTGTCACTCTGTTGCCCAGGCTAGTCTCAAACTCCTGGGCTCAAGTGATCCTCCCACCCCAGCCTCCCAAAGTGCTGGGATTACAGGTGTGACCCACTGCACCCAGCCCAAGTCTAAGTTTTGAACCTCACCACTGCACTGCTAACTGTAAAGCAGGGTTTGTAGATTTATTTGAATTCTAAAGCACTTTGGACTTATGTTGGTCAGCTGCGTGACACTGTGAAAAGAAAGGAAAAACTGAATGTTTAGAAATCTACTATCAAAAGTCTGCCAAAAAAATAAAGCACAGAGAGGTGAAGAAGAAGAAGATACATTTTGAATTATGGATTGGAGAGCAAAAAGCATACTCCAGTGAGTCCTTTGGTAACATGAAAGTTACTAATCAGCATGAAAACTGCAAGGGCCCAATGCACCGGAATGTCAGGTTTAAAAAGTTGTCTCATAGGCTCAAGAAAAGACTTGTGGTACAGCAGACCACATGGTAGAAAAGACGGAAAGGACCCCATCTTCGCAGACTGGAGAGACAGTCTTCTGCTGGCCTCAAGGAAACAAAGTGCCATATGCTGAACTGGCTATGGACAGGGTCGCATACAGGGAACAGCCGTAGTCCCTGAGGGAGGACACCAGTCAACAGGAAGAAGATAGCACCCTCACTCATGCAGGGAGAAGATAGCACCCTCACTCATGCAGGGAGAAGACAGCACCCTCACTCATGCAGGGAGAAGACAGCACCCTCACTCATGCAGGCACAAATGATGAACTCTGCATACAACCTGAATGAGTTTGCAAACAGGTTCTTCCACAGTTGAACCTCCAGATGAGAATGCAGCCTGCTTGACACTTTGAGATGCTCAGCAGCAAACCAGCTAAGATGTGCCCACACTCCTGACCCAGAGAAACTGCGAGACAATAAACCTGTGTTGTTTTAAGCTGCCAAATTTGGGGGTAATTTGTTACACAGCAATAGAAAACACAAGCCTTCTCTCCTAAACCTTCCCAACCATTGCATGAGTAAGGATTATTTTCATCTTCTCAAAGTCTTTGTTAGGGGGACTACAAAAATGGCAGGCCATACAGACCCTGAGTACAACTGTATAAAAGCAGCAACCTTAGGTTTAGTCACAGTTGTCTACATTAGAACTACAGGAAGACTTGGAAGGAAACTAAGAGGCCCCCTAGTACCATTCTTTATGTTTACAGATAAGGAATGCAAGGACATGTAATAGTTCATAACTTGTTCCAGATCACATAGCTGATTAAAGGCAAAAAAAAAAAAAAAAAGAAAAGAAAAAGAAAATAGAACTGCTAATCTAGTGAATTTCCCACATCTTCACAAATTGCTCATATGTATAAATTGTGTCTTTTCCCTGAAAATAAAGGATTGAGAGCCAAACTATAAATTTCATTTCTATCTCCTACATGAAAATCAATTGTAACACAAATTTATTGTTACTAATTAACTAAAACATGCTTAGCAATAGGAATTCACTTGATAAATAAGCTCTATGCTTGCTAAACCAAAAAAAGGCATATGAGAAATTATACATATATTTTACACGAAGTAAGCTGCAATAAAACCTGTTTCAGCTTGGCTTTGGTGAAAAATACCAGCATCCCTCTCTGTGGGGTTAACTAGTTTTTTGTCAGTGTTTACTGTATCAAGCATATTTCAGAAAATGTGATTTGATCATCAGAGTACCAGAAGCCATGTTGCAATAAAGAGCTCTTGTATTCTGGGTCCAACTTTAAAATATGTGTTTTTAAAAACCTGCATTTACAGTGATGAAGATGGCAAGAAAAGTGAAGTAAAAACTTGCATTTAGAACTTGACATAAGTCTGCTTTATTTTATAACGTGTGCCACACAAATAAAATTTTTCTGAACATTATATATGACATTCATTTGGCAAACACTACATTGCAGGCCCATCACTGTTTATCTAATTCCTCTAATTTTAAGAAATGACTCAAATCACAATGCAGCTTACTAAGCAGCCCAAAGTGTAACAGGAATTGCAGTATTTCAAATAGCAAGGAAGAGTTACTCTAATCCATGCTTACGTTAAAAATCAAGGACTCCAAATAAAACACCATGTTTAATTCAATTTATCAAGTCCAAGAAGTCACCAAGGCAATGTAAAAGAACTAACAATGGGGAAGCCCTAATTTTTAAGTCTGCCTTGAAAACAATTTTTGCTTATCAGTGAGACTTTCTAATAGGACTCATCTTGCCATCGGCATCCACAAAATCTGAACCACCTACCTCCCACTTCTCCACGAGGATCCCTTCCTAATGTCTGATGCCTCTTCCCTCACCTCCATTCTTTGCCCACTGCTGCACATGCTTAAAGCCCAGCTACCCTTTCACCCACAGAAGTTGGAGACCACTGCTACCCTGGTTAATTCTCAGAAGTAATAAACTCAGAACCTGAAAGCACATAATGCCTACAAGACTATTCACTATTTCAAACTTCTGCTCTGCTTTACATGAATTCAAAAAAAAAAAAAAAAAATCACTCTATTTTTTTCTGCTGTACCAAGGCAAAGAAATTCTACAATCACATTTAAAGACATGGACTAATGACTTCACGACATCGCAGTAGCAGTTTCAGCTGTTCAGTTTCAGAGAAGCTAAAAATTAACAGGTTCTGTGCTAAGCACTGTATCATCTCATTTCTTCTGTAAAATCGCTCCATGAGGACATTAAAACACAATGTTTGGTCACTTACTCAAGGACGACATACTTAGCAAATATAACACAACCAGGATTTGAACACATGCCATCTGCTTGTGCTGTTAACTGCTGAAACATTCTAGTCATTTTTCTAGCCAGGTTGCATAACTTGGTGGCCCATGGTTAAGCGTGAAGTTTCTACGAAGCCCAGTAACAAGCCCAAAAGCTGTTTCTTAAAAGAGCGGTTACCTGCAAAGGATGCAAAGGCTTTGCTCCAAAATCCCAGGATCTACACTGTAATTATCTCCTACAGGGCCTGCCAAAGGTTCCAAACAGCATTTCAGTCTGCCACTGACATTTCAAGCACCGTAAGATCTGCTGGGTCATATGGCCTGAGAGGCAGAGCAGTTTGCACAGCAGCCTGTAGCTGTGGCAGAGGCGCCTTTTGTTCCGGGATCCACTCAAAACTAGCAGCATTTTGGGTCACTCAGTGAACAACCTGAAGTAGCACACCCAAATGAGGAATATGTCACCTCCAAAATCCAAAGAGGCCCACCAGACCTTGCTTCTCTCTTTTTGTTATAGGTGGGAACACGCCCTACACCACACCAGTGGACCCCTAGAAATTTCACTCAAGGCCGGGTGCGGTGGCTCAAGCCTGTAATCTCAGCACTTTGGGAGGCCGAGGCGGGCGGATCACGAGGTCAGGAGATCGAGACCATCTTGGCTAACACGGTGAAACCCCGTCTCTACTAAAAATAGAAAATTAGCCGGGCGTGGTGGCGGGCGCCTGTAGTCCCAGCTACTCGGGAGGCTGAGGCAGGAGAATGGCGTGAACCTGGGGGGCGGAGCTTGCAGTGAGCCGAGATCGCACCACTGCACTCCAGCCTGGGGCACAGAGCAAGACTCCGTCTCAAAAAAAAAAAAAAAATTTCACTCAAGTAGAAGGACCCTGAACGTTTGCTGGATTTATTTCCCGCCCTCTGACATGCAAATGTCTTACCAGTAAGTCAACAGTAGTTGTTCCTTCTTGCCCACCAGGTCCAATCAGCACACCACCATCAATGTGATGGGCCAGGATGATGTCTTGTGGAAAGGAAGGGCAATCAGGGTCTCTGTCTGCTACAGCTGCTGTAATAGAGAGCCACAAACTGAGGAGCTTACACAACAGAAATGTATGTCTCCGTCTATGGGGTTAGAAGTCCAAGATTAAGGTGTCAAAAGCACTGGTTCCTTCAAAGGGAGTGAGGAAGCATCTGCTTCATGTCTCCCCCCTTGCTCCTGATGGTTTGCTGAAAATGTGTGACATTTCTTGGTGTTCCTCTACTTCAGTTTCACATGGCATTCTCCCCGTGTGAATGTCTGTGTTCAAATTCCTCCTGTTTACAAGGACACCAGTTGTGTCGGATTAGGGGCCCAGCCTACTTCAGTATGACCTCATCTTATCTAATCACATTTTTAACTACCCTATTCCCAAATAAGGTCATACCCTGAAGTAATGAGGGCTAGGAATCCAATATACAAATTTTTAGAAGACACAATTCAACTCGTAACAAGATCTCTGTGGTCTAAGTTATGATACAGTGTTGGAAAGTTGATATTTCCGAGGGAGGACAGTGAAGGTGTATTTCTGGCTTTGTCAGTTGAAAGAAAACTGCTTTTAGTGATCTTTACTAACAGACAGTAAGACAAAGCATGCAGCAGATCAGTAACTGCATGCCAGCTACTGGGGGACAGGTTCTCAAGTAAAGAAATGAAACATGGAACAGCGGCTGCAATTAGTCACCACTCAGTTAAGTTCATGATAATCCACTGTCATTTTCCAAGATCAATCTGTTTTCTGCACAGGCCAAATAGGAGGGCTGAATGCGAATATGTCAGGAATCATCACCTGTATCCTTAAGTGCCCCAATCTCTGCAGTTCCTCCGGGAATGAGGTATTGCTTTCGGCTTCCTACCCCTCCAGGAAGAGGCAGCTCTAGTGGCTTTTATTTGGCCTTTCTTACCACAATAGCCCTCATTCCACAGGTCGGGGAACCAGTGTGGGGATTCTGCCAGTTGCTGAGTATGTCTACACCAGTTACGCATCCTGGAACGAATATGCGGACTCACTGTGAGGAGGACCTGGATTAAACCTCTACTGACCACCTACCCTCAACAAGCCCCTAGTCTGAACGGTGGGCCAAAACGACACTTTGAGAGTCCTGGAATTAGTGTCAGTTCAGAGTTAAGTGTTCACTAATCCATGAGAAGTCTATTTCCTCTTCTCCAATGCACACTTACCCTGATAAGCCATAGGCCCCTTCGGGAAACGCTGAGAAAAAAATTAATGGTATAAATTCTTGGCAGCACAATGGGGTCCGTCCTCAAAAGGATCCAGCCTCCCCTCATTCAAGGGGTTCTTCGTCTGTAAAATGACTCAAATCTGGGAATTGATTGAGGGACCATGACTCTTTCTTTGGTAATTAAAGTAAGGCTTCCATTCACTTGACCTAGAACTCTTCTGCTTACCCAGATTAAGTCAGAATTCAGTAGACTGCCCATTGAGTTCTCTTCTAGGGACACCATGACCACCTACCCAACGCCACAGGACTCCCAAGTCAGGCTGTTCAGATTGCTGCTTTGACTCCGCTGTCCCCCATGATGGCAACACACCCACTTAGTCTTTGGTGATCACATGGCCCCACCACCCGGGATCCAACCATCCCTGCTGCCGTTAAGGACCTGCAGTCAGTGGCAGCAGCTTTCACTGCAATCTCTGACCGGCAGAGAAGAGCAACCCCAGAGCTCTTCACAGGTGCCTCAGGAGAACCAGCAACGTCTTACAAGGTAACTACCTCAAGGGACATCATTACAGGTTCTTCAGGCAAAGCAGAGTTAATATCCTCAAACAGAGGTGGAAGAATTGCTTCTATTGGCAAAAAAGAGTGAGTAAAATTTAGAAGTTTAACATCCCCAACTTCATCAGGATTTTCCCATATGGCCCTATTCCAAGTGTGAGGATCCCATTCCTTCCCAATCAATGCCTCATTTTAACAGCAGACCAAGGTGAAGAGGGGACTCAGTCAGACACTCACACGGGGAGATGCCGTGTGAACTGAATAACAGCAGACCAAGGTGAAGAGGGAACTCAGACACTCACACGGGGAGATGCCGTGTGAACTGAATAACAGCAGACCAAGGTGAAGAGGGGACTCAGTCAGACACTCACACGGGGAGACGCCGTGTGAACTGAATAACAGCAGACCAAGGTGAAGAGGGAACTCAGTCAGACACTCACACGGGGAGACGCCGTGTGAACTGAGTAACAGCAGACCAAGGTGAAGAGGGAACTCAGTCAGACACTCACACGGGGAGACGCTGTGTGAACTGAATAACAGCAGACCAAGGTGAAGAGGGGACTCAGTCAGACACTCACACGGGGAGATGCCGTGTGAACTGAATAACAGCAGACCAAGGTGAAGAGGGGACTCAGTCAGACACTCACACGGGGAGATGCCGTGTGAACTGAATAACAGCAGACCAAGGTGAAGAGGGGACTCAGTCAGACACTCACACGGGGAGATGCCGTGTGAACTGAATAACAGCAGACCAAGGTGAAGAGGGGACTCAGTCAGACACTCACACGGGGAGATGCCGTGTGAACTGAATAACAGCAGACCAAGGTGAAGAGGGGACTCAGTCAGACACTCACACGGGGAGATGCCGTGTGAACTGAATAACAGCAGACCAAGGTGAAGAGGGGACTCAGTCAGACACCAACACGGGGAGACGCCGTGTGAACTGAGTTCAGCAGACCAAGGTGAAGAGGGGACTCAGTCAGACACTAACACGGGGAGATGCCGTGTGAACTGAATAACAGCAGACCAAGGTGAAGAGGGGACTCAGTCAGACACTCACACGGGGAGACGCCGTGTGAACTGAGTTCAGCCACCTACAGGGTGAGCCTCGGACTTGGTCTCCACCAACCCCAGCTCTGCAGCTACAGGAGACACGGGTTCTTCAGGGCAGACCCAGAAGCTTTTCGGGTCACTCATGTGGAGCTTCAATCGGGAATTTGAAGCCTTCAGCTTTTGCCCTTTTCTTTTTTTTTTTTTTTTTTTTTTTTTGAGACAGTCTCACTCTGTTACTCAGGCTGGAGTGCAGTGGTGTAATCTCGGCTCACTGCAACCTCCGCCTCCTGGGTTCAAGCGATTCTCCTGCCTCAGCCTCCCCAGTAGCTGGGATAGTCCTTTTCTTTTCTCACTTTGCCCAGCACAGTTAAAAGCAACCAGCCTATCTTATTATACTCATTAATTTGATTAAAATGTTCTAAGGTATCAAACACCTGATCATTCTGAATCTTGTCTATAAGCACGAGTGGGAGCATCCAAGCGTGATCTTGTGCGTATCTCTTGCCACATCACACCATGGACTACCAGCGCCCTCTTTTCCACTGGGAACACTCATTATTGCCTTTAAATCTGATCAGTCAAGAAGACCAGTTCCGGAAACACTATCATCAATTCAGAAAACTCATCCTTAAGATTCTGCTCACTAGAAGCACTCTCAGCACCCAAATTTGAATCAGTCAGGGCTCTCCAGAGATACAGAACTGATAGGAAAAAATACATAGATGTAGATAAAAACATAAATATCTTCATCTATATATAGACAAATATAGAGATACTGGTATTTTAAAGAACTGGCTCACACAATTGTAGGGTCTAGAAACTTCAAAATGTGTAGGGTAATCTACAGACAGGAAACTCAGGCAGGAATTGATGCTGTAGTCTTGAGGAAAATACTGTCCTCTTCAGGACACCTGTTTTGGCTTTTTTGGCCTTCAGTTGATTGCATGAGGTCCACCCACATTATTTAAGGTAATATCCTTTAGTTTAGGTCAGCTGATTATAGATGTTAACCACGTCTTCAGAATACCATCATAGCATGAACCAAGTTAGTATCTGATTAAATAACTAGGTATCATAGCCTAGCTAAGCTGACATAATAAAACTAATCATCACACACAGTATTACTCAACAAAATCTTATTTCCAACTGAAGGAAAAACCTTTTAAACAATAATATTTTATTTGCTCCAGAAAGGCCATGAAATTTTAGTAAGAACACTTTTCTGAGTGGACAGAGGAAAAGTCCTTCATTCAAAACCATTTGGAGGAACAAAGCTGCCATGAACCACCTCTCTTCACAGAACACTATCTTAGGAAACTGTAACATTGTATCTACATTTTTAAAACAATCTCTATGTTTCAAAAATATGATCTCCAACTCTACAACAGAAATCACACTTTAACATTATACCTCTGACAGAAGCGCTCTCACTTTCTTACAAATGGGTTGAAATAAATCCTACACGTCCTTTCCTTGTCTTGGTGGAGCTCACATTCCAGCAAGATAACATCCTTATCTAACTATGTTCTCTCTGGACATAATAACCCAGGCATTAAGAAGTATCAAAACACTTTCTGAAAATCTATTTGCTAGGCAACTTCCAGTTCTGAGTATGACCTTCTAGCCAGCACTGTTTCATTATTAGCAGAATCTGGTCAATCAGCCAGACTGCCTGGGTCCAAATCCTGATCCCACTACTTACAAGCTGCATGATCTTGGCCAAGTTACTTACCCCTCATCTGTAAAACACTCATAATTATACCACTGGGTTCAGTTAGAATTAAACGAGGGCAAATGAATAAAGCACTAAGCTCAAGTATTAGCTATTATTATTTTAATGTCTGGAAAACCAGAGATTACTCAGGTACTCAAGTATTCGCTGTTATTATTTTTTTATTACTAAAAAAATTTACTAAATTTTTTTACAATTTAAAATTTTAAAAGGTACTCAAGTATTAGCTATTATTATTTTAATGTCCAGAAAACCAGCGATTACTCAGGTAATAAGAGAAAAATAACACTATTGGTAATTTTAAAATCATTTTTATCTGGCTCATTTACTTCTTACATTAACTGCTTTCAAGAATCCTTCCTCTCTCTTCTCAAATGAATTTACATAACTTCTAGTTTTATAAAAACTACAAAATGTAATCTCTATATATCCCACTATCCTGGAGTTTTCATAAACACATAGTTAAGGGGCTTTTGATCAAATAAAAATTTTTTGTTTTGATTTTTGAGACAGACAGTCTCGCTCTGTCACCCAGGCTGGAGTGCAATGGTGCAATCTCGGCTCACTGCAACCTTCGCCTCCCAGGTTTAAGTGATTCTCCTGCCTCAGCCTCCTGAGTAGCTGAGATTACAGGCACGCGCCATCGCGCCCCGCTAATTTTTGTATTTTTAGTAGAGACGGGGTTTCACCATGTTGGCCAGGCTGGTCTTGAACGTGATCCGCCCACCTCGGTCTCCCAAAGAGATGGGATTACAGGAGTAAACCGCCATGCCTGGTGTTTAAAAACATTAAAACATGCTTTTAAAAGTCTAAATTACATTCATTTTCTGTAAAATTACAACAGCAATTATCTCAAGAAACTTAAGCATCAGGACCAGGGAATGTAATTGCCTGGTTCTAATGCTTGGATACTGTCAGGCCTCTGAGCCCAAGCCATGCCATCGCATCCCCTGTGACTTGCACGTATATATAGGCCCAGATTGCCTCAAGTAACTGAAGAATCACAAAAGAAGTGCAAATGCCCTGCCTCGCCTTAACCCATGACATTCCACCACAAAAGAAGTGAAAACGGCCGGTCCTTGCCTTAAATGATGATATTAACTTGTGAAATTCCTTTTCCTGGCTCATCCTGGCTCAAAAAGCTCCCCCACTGAGCACCTTGTGACCCCCACTCCCGCCCGCCAGAGAACAACCCCCCTTTGACTGTAATTTCCCTTTACTTACCCAAATCCTATAAAACGGCCCCACCCTTATCTCCCTTCGCTTTTCGGACTCAGCCTGCCTGCCTGCACCCAGGTGATTAAAAAGCTTTATTGCTCACACAAAGCCTGTCTGGTGGTCTCTTCACACGGACGCGCACGACAGATATGCCTATAATGTATTCGATCTTTAAGACCTTCACCTTTGCAATTGTCAATATTCATGAAATGAAATTCTCAACTTAGCTCATTTCATATAATAATACAAGCAGTCATCTGAAATTGATGGTTCATCCCTATTTGTGAAAAACAGGCCTCATTCTCGGTTCAAAGTTTGTAAGGGGTCAACAACCTCAGATGCCCACAATTTACAAGTGATTAGATTGGAAACTACAACGCTGCAAATGCTGCCTTCCCCAAAGCCAGGTCCATTCATTAATATATCTGTGCCTACTGACAAGAAGGCAGGCTGGTAAAGCACATTTTCAAAGCTCTTTTAAAGGGATCAATTTTGGTAAAGAGTAATTCAAGACGGATTGTAAAGCTGCTCAGTTTTACACCCTTGGAAGGTGGGGACTTGACGCACGATGTTAACATGTACACGCATCAATAATCCACAGGTAGTTTTGACCCTGATCTCAGGTTGAAAGTCCTCAACTATGGAGCTTTCGAGTTTCAGCACAGTAGGCGCTTTCACTCCCCAGTAGAAATCTGGGGTGATGGCCAAAAAAAGTGTGTTGTCTCCCCCAAACCACACCATGCCAAGTTCAGCCAACGCAGAGTAATGCACCCTTACGTATTCGTCAAGAAGAGGTATAGTCGGTCCCTTTTCTCAAAACCTAACAGGTGAGAATGGCCTCTTGTGGCTTCCCAAATACGGCGGTAAGGACCAATCTGCCAGCTCCTAACAAGAAATTGCTAATTTTTAAAACCACTCCGACCGCGGGCGCTTCCAGACCCCTCCTCAACCGGCTTCCGAGGAAGGGAAGAGAAGACGGTGAAGGGTCACAGCAGAGCAGGCAGAAAAACAGTCCCAAAGCAAGATTTGCCAGGACACTGGCTCAACCCGGAAGGGCGGGGGAGCCTCTCTGGGCCGGGGGCGGTGGGGTCTGCGGCTGTGGACGACCCCAGTCTGGCGGTCATACACTGCCGCAGTCCGAAGAGCGGCGCCCGCAGAGCAGTTGCCGGGTTCGCGCCGCGAGTCAGCTCCCGGACACACGCCCAGGGTTGAAGGTGCCCTCTAGACCCCTCCCGCTGCCCCCAGAGGCCTGGGGCCCAGGCTACCTCTTAGGACGCTCGGGCCGCCGCTTCCCGCCGCGCGGGCTGGACCACAGCTCCTCGAACGCCACGGCAGTGTTACTCAGCAGAGGACCCCGACCGAGTGCGGGTCCGGGTGCCAGAACCCGCGGGACTCAGCCGGACGCCAGCCCCCCACCGCCTCCGGCCCGCCAGCCGCGCCCACTAGCAACGTGCTCGCGACCGCCCGTGCCCTCTCAGCGAAGCCTCCGCATGCCGCGCGCGGCACGTCGGGACTCGTAGTTCCGGCGCGGAGGACTTGCGTCGCGGCACGCTCTCCTGAGCGGCGCCACGTGACCCCGCACCTCCGGAAGTGACGTGACCAGACACGCGTGGCGCGGGCCGCCGTTTCCGCAAACAGAATCGCGTTTGGGTGTGCTGGTGAGTGTGACGGCTGGAACTCCGGCCCTTCCTTTCTTTGTGTTTATCCTCGGCTGCCGTGGAGCGGTGGAAATGGCACTCCCGCTCCTGACATGGGCTCACTTCGATTAGCCCTGTGCTTCACTGGCCGCGGCGTGCGTCTGTCGCCTTGTGTCCGCAGTCCCAAGCAAAATGGGAACTGCTTGGGGTGGGCGGGCGCTGTTGCTCCTCCAGACTGAGCGAGCCCGGGTGGGAGAAGAAGCCCGAGAGCTGTTCCAGCTCGCGCCCCAGGGCCCTGCTGGGGAGGGGCGCGGGGTCCTCAGGTCTGTCTTGAGCGGCGCCTCGGAAACCTGAACCAGAGCTTGAGTAACAGGCCGCGCCAATGACGGAGGGGAGAACTTGGCTGGAAGAGTCCGTCTCGCCTCGCTGCGTCCTCTCGGGCCCGTAGTAGAGGGTCAGGCGGCTGGCTTGGGGCTTAAGAGCTTATCCCGCGTGGGCTTTATCCCCGCGGCCCTGGCGGCCCGCTCGGTCGTACCCCGAGGAACTGAAGTGACGCAGAGACTTAGCCTGCTCCGGAGGTGTGGCTGGAAAGCCAGGTCGAAACGTCCGGGTGGTTATTTATCGCGTATCCATCTCGATGTCAGGCGACCACCTCTGGAAGGTTTCTCCCGAGGATTCTGAGGGACAGCTCTCTTTCCTTTGGAGTGTTTTCATTATTCCACTTTGAGTTCGGTTTGTTCCCCCCCATTTGTTAAATTGGTACATAGAAGTTGCACATATTTGGAGGTACAGGTGATATTTTGATACATGCATACAACGTGTAACGACCAAATCAGGGCAATTGGGGTATTTGTCATCTCAAACATTTGTTTTCTTTATGTTGGGAGCATTCCAATTTTTCTTTTAGCTATTTTGAACTACACAATAAGTTACTGTTAACTGTGTCCACCCCACCGTACTATCAGGCACTAGATTTTATTTCTTCTGGGGTTTTTTTGTACCCATTAACCAGTTTCTCTTCTTCATCCCCGTCTTCCTGCTACCCTTCCCAGTCTGTGGTAACCACCATTTCACTCTTTACCTCCACAGTTTTAGCTCCCACTTGAGTGACAACATGATATTGTCTTCATGTGCCTGACTTATTTCACTTAACATGATGACATCCGGGTTGATCCATGTTGTTGCAAATGACAGGATTTCATTCTTTTTAATGACTCATATTCCATTGTGTATATGTGCTACATTATCTTTATTCATCTGTTGATGGACACTTAGGTTGATTCCATATCTTGACTATTGTGAATAAACTTGAGACTGCAGATATTTCTTGGATATACTGATTTCCCTTCTTTTGGATCTATTCCCAAATTTGCAAAACTATTCATCGGACGGGGATTAACCAGAATATAGAAGAAACTCATCTCAATAGCGCCAGTTCTATTTTTTGGTTTTTTTTTTTTAAGAACCTCCATACTTTTCCCAGTATGTAAATTAGTGCCTTGCTAATTTACATTCCCCCTAACGGTGTACAAGTGTTCCCTCTTTTCTGCATCCTCATCGACTTTTTTTTTTTTTTTTTTTTTTTTGACGGAGCCTTACTCTGTCGCCCAGGCCGGAGTGCAGTGGCTTGATCTTAGCTCGCTGCAACCTTTACCTCTGGGTTCCAGCGATTCTCATGCCTCAGCCTCCAGAGTAGCTGGGATTACAGGCGCACATCACCACGTCCGGCTACTTTTTGTATTTTTGGTAGAGATGGGGTTTCAGTATGTTGGCAGGCTGGTCTCGAACTCCTGACCTCAAGTGATCTGCCCACCTTCACCTCCCAAAGTGCTGGGATTACAGGTGTGAGCCACCGCGACGGCCTTCGTATCCATTTTTTAAAAGTCTTTCTGATAAAAGCCATTTTAGCCGAGATGAGATGGTATCTCATTGTGGTTTCGACTTGCATTTCCCTGGTATTACTGATATTGAGCATTTTTTACATATATACCTGTTGGCCATTTGTGTGTCTTTTACGAAATGTCTATTCAGATCTTTTGCCCATTTGTAGTAGGATTGCTTCTTTTTTTTGCTATTGAGTTGAGTTTCTTCTATATTCCGGTTGTGAATCCCCTGTCAGATGAATAGTTTCGCAGATACTTTCTCGCTTTCTGTAGGTTATCTCTTCATTCTTGTTTCCTTTGCTGTGCAGAAGTTTTTAGCTTGATATAATCCCATTTGTCTGTTTTTGCTTTTGTTGCCTGTACTTTTGAGGTCTTACCACAGAAATCTTTGCCCAGACCAGTGTCTTGAAGCATTTCCACAATGTTTTCTTCAAGTAATTTCATACTTGCGGGTTTTAAATTTAAGTTTTCAGTCCATTTTGATTTGATTTTTGCATATGGTGAGAGAGAGTGGTCTAGATTTCCCAGCACCATTTTTTGAGGACACTGTTCACTATGTACGTTCTTGGCACATTTGTTGAAAACAAGTTGGCTGTAAACATGGTGCTTGGTTTTAAACATTCTTACTCATTTTTGTGGTCATCTGGAATGCTGTGTCATTTCTGCTGACCTAATTGATTATGTTTTTATGATGTCACATCTGTGATACCATAAAAGTAAGTGACATAAGTAAAATTCACGCTTAAATCTCGGTACTAATTTTAGGTAATAATTATAGCTAAAGATAAGTCACATTGCTTTATTTGAATTTAAAGCCAATTTCCATTAAGAAATCAATGGCAGAGGAGGAGAACTAGGAATTTAATAAGTTGGTAGCCAATTTTTCTAGATAATCATTTTAAGTATTTGTTCTGAAAATTACTTTTTTGATTTTTTGTTGTTGTTGTTCTCTCATTCAGTTCTATTTGGTACCTCTTGGTATTTTGTTACCTCAAATGGTGGATCATGAAAGCTAATAACCCTTGAAATCCTTACCCATTCGTAGTGACTTGTTACCCATTCCTTTAAGCAACTTAATTTCTTATTCTTTTTTGTTATCCAAAAGGCTTATTTATTTATCTATCTATTTTTAGCACAACACAAACACTTCCTTCATGAAAAAGCTTTTTTTTTTTTTAAGGGGGGTCTCACTTTGTTACCTAGGCTGTAGTGCAGTGGCGCAATCACAGCTCACTGCAGCATGGACCTCCTAGGCTCAGGTCATTCTCCTACTTCAGCCTGCTGAGTAACTGGAACTAAGGCATGTGCTACCATGCCAGGTATTTTTTGTAGAGACGGGATTTTGCCATGTTGCCCAAGCTGGTCTCTAACTCCAGAGCTCAAGCAGTCTGCCCACCTCGGTCCCCCAAAGTGGTGGGATTACAGGTGTGAGCCACTGTGCCGAACAAAAGCTTAACATTTTAATAGTGGTATGTAAGCTATAAACATCTTGAAAACATAATTTACCTTGAGCTTCTCTGTAGTAGGAGGTCACTAAGTTTGTTGAATGACTTAATAAATCAACCACCGTAATTCTTAACCAATAGATAGTTCAGTTATTTCTCTCTCTTTCCCATCTTAATGTAGGTCTAAGAACATATTTGAAGGAGACTTAATGGTCATCAAACTGCAGGCTGAGTCTTGAAACTTGTCTAAAGTCATTTCTACTCTCTCCACTTTCTACCTAATTGTGAAATATGATTTCATTATGAAACCATTATGAAATATGATTTCAGAAGTTCTTGCTGTAGAATCCCAAACTTTTTCTGTTCTTGATGCCCTTAGTGTCCATAGGCCAAAAGAAATGCAACAGTTCCATTTATTAAGTAGTTTACCCCAAAGAATTTGAAAGTATTTGTGGTCTAACAACTTTATGTCTGTTTAAAAAAATTAATACACATAAATTGGGGGGAAAGGTAATGTTTGTGTTTTATTCTTAATTAATCACAATCCCTTGCTAACAGGATGTGTGAACCTGTTGGGTACTGTACAACTTCAAGCCTCGAAATCAGATAGGCACCGCCAACCTCATTTCCTGTTTCACCTTGATTTTCTGTGATACCAAAATCTCAGCTTCACAAAGTCATTGAAAGGTATGTAGTGCAGTCTGTTCAGTTGGAACTGTGCTGCACTTAAAGCTGGTAGTTTCTGTGATATCTTCCACGTTACGTCCTGTGGTGCTGTTTGTTATGGTGCCAACCATGCAGTTTGGGAACCAGAGTTATGGAGTAAGGGTCAGAACTGAAATGGAGCTAGTGCATGTGTATCCCCACTTCATTCATCAGCTTTAATGCCAACAGTGACTTTTATGAATAAGATTATAGAATTACGGGGGGATTATACTTAGTATTACCATATTCAGAAATTCGTACATAATATCGATTAACATTTTTTAATATTCTCTCTACAATGAGATTTTTTAAAACTCCTAGTTGATCAAATTTTTTTTTTGATCAAATTCTAGTTAAAATTATTTTAGGCCGGGTGCGGTGGCTTACGCCTGTAATCCCAGCATTTTGGAAGGCCGAGGCAGGCGGATCACCTGGGGTCAGGAGTTAGAGACCAGCCTGCCCAACATGGCGAAACCGCGACTCTACTAAACATAGAAAAAATTAGCCGGGCCTGTTGGCAGACGCCTGTAATCCCAGCTACTCGGGAGGCTGTGGCAGGAGAATCGCTTGAACCCTGGAGGCAGAGCTTGCAGTGAGCCGAAATCACGCCATTGCTCTCCAGCCTGGGTGACAAAAGTGAAACTGTCTCCAAAAAAAAAAAAATTGTTTTAAAGTCTTAGTGTTTACAAGTAATACCAATTTTTTGTCATTCTAGTGTTGGTTCATGAAGTTTTACCATCAATTCAAGCAATCATAAATGGCAAGTTCTACAAAAGCAGAGGAATATGAAAAGATGTCTGTTGAACAGGCAAAAGCGTCCGTGAATTCTGAAGCAGAGTCTTCGTT